ACGGAATGGAAAGTTAGGAATTCCTCCGGGATACAGAGCATGCAATTTTCCTGGTAATCATTTAGACCCAACCCTTTTTCATAACACAAATGTAGGCGTTAGTTATGAGGGCACTCGTTTTCCGAAGTTAAATTCTACGAAGGTTCATAATTCTGGAATAGGAATGTCAAATTCCATTCCCGGTGGTTTATTATCCCAACAATGAAATAGGGTATACAACTCCCAAAAGTTTGGGCTGTCCAGGCCTATGGTTCTTTCTACCAAAGTCCCATAATTTCGAAAATTATGTAAGGTTTCATAATTCCTTAAATGGAATAGGGCTCATAATAATTATTCTAAACTTTCTTAAATCCAAAAATAATATAGCTTTCAAAGGCGTTCTATTGAATTTTCGGATTGACGAACATTTGATACTACAAACTCATGCATTTTCAAAATTACGAACATTCTTGTTAACGAAGCTTGGGGAAAACGGCATGTACGATGGGGGGGGGGGGGGGTCCTTCTCTTAGCCCCCCCCCCCCCCCCCCCCGCGCTCACATAAGTAAACCTCACATAGAAATCAAACATGCATTGTCAAACTGTCATTTTCTTCTTTGTTGATAGCGGGATAAACTTTTCCATTCATTTTCTTCTTTGCTGATAGCGGGATAAACTTTTCCATACAGAGGTAGAAAAGGAAAATATTGCAAATCTTTATATTTAGGGTGCTTTTATCATTGAGAATTTCTAGTACAGAGCAAATGGTGGGCCTCGACTTTCATAAAAGTTTGAGAAGCGCCGGCTTACGTTAGTCTGCAAGCACAGACCCTAATTTGACACTTTATCAAAAAATCATTGTGCCTTAAAAGAAGCCTAGCCCAGTGTGTAAGGAGCAGCTATAGTACATGGCATATGGTAGTCTTATAGTGCAGACTCTCTTTTACGACTAGCCAGGGTTTGTGCCTGCAAACTAGACTTACGTGGTCATAACTCCATTTGCATATCGATCAAACGCCATATTCTCAATAAGATACCCCGTTACCTTGCAAACCTCACGTATAGGGTTCTGGAAGATTTTTGTTTGCCTCTCACTACGGGGCCAAAGTGCATTTAAAATACAAAGTACCTACTCAAAAGAGAATGGATGGCCTTTTTATTAGAACAAACCGGTAATTGACCTTTTTCTTTGTTGAACCTCTTGCCAATACAAAGTGTTAAGTACCGGCGTTTTTGTAGGAGGAGAAAGGGGGTGTTTCACGAAGACAAAAAGGGACTTTTAGATTTGCGTGGACTGATACGTGTGACGTCCATTCAAGGACGTCGATCTTAGCAATCCACGTTGTCGTTGTGCTATGTTATGTAGCGGCGTTTTGTAGGAGGAGCAAGGGGGATGTTTAACGGAGCCAAATATCAACTAAAGTTGGACTTGAATTATGACAGGCCGTTCATACCACTGGTTGATCTCACCATTTGTCTCTAAAGCGATGTGCATATCTTGGTCACAAATCTACATAATTGATATTTTTGATGATTCATGGTAGAACCAAAAATTACTTAAATTTCAGTTCTACTTAAGATTTGGACTTATGCTATAATGGGCAGTTTATGCGCATAAAAGTTAATGAACCAGATATGAAATTAGAGGAAAATCCCCCCCCCCCCAAAAAAAAGGATATAAATAAATATGTTTTTTAGATAAACTTTTTCTTCTTCAACAATGAAAAATACAAAAGTGTCAATTTTGTAGATTTATGACCACAATTTCAACGTCCTTTGAAAGACCAACTACGGGAATGATGAGAGCACACAGTGGCACTAACAGCCTGCCACAGTCCAAATCCAACCTAAGTCGACCTCAGTCTTTGTGAAAGGTCTGAAAAGACCCTTACTTTTGAAAATAGTCAGCCACCCTTCCATAACCATGCATGACCCTCAGAGCGTGGGTTCCTAACGGAAACATACTGGATCACGGTAAAAACAGATATAATGCCCCTTTTGCTGCAAAGGCCTTGATACGCCACTGGTAGCATGTCAGAACATTTAAATACAAAACTGTAAAAAAAAAAAAAAAAAAGCTTCTCTCCGTCAGTCGTTCATAGACGTCTAATCAATTTCCCTTTAAGCCGATGGAACGAACTTTTAAATAACTAATGTCTGTGGCCCTATATTAAAATGAATATAAAACTGATACAACTTTTTGTCAGGAAGGGGTTGGCATAATACCTCTGCAAAAACAATAAATGTTCCCTCCAATTTCGCTCGGAAAACGATCTAGGTGTATCACCATTACGGTGTTCACCAGTAATTTAACTTATTTTAGAATTTCATATCCACAATAAATAGTCATGCAAATAGTGAACTATATGGGTTCCGGGAAAACTAACCCCTAGGACAACCACCCCGAGAACAATACCCCCCCCCCCCCCCTGGGAAATTGTCCTTGGAGGGGTGGTTTTCCTTTTTGGGTACTTTTCCGGTGGGTAATTTTCCGGGGGGTGATTGCACAGGGGGTAAGTGTCCTGATATGAACTATAAGGCCTAGGCCTGAACCTCATGGACACGAAAATTAAATGAATGAATGATACATTGATTTAATACATTGATTTAATAAGTATTAGTCATGTGCATTTACTGATGGAATTATAATGAGAAAGAGAAAATAAAAAGATGCTTATACCGTTGAAAGTTTACAGTTTCTTTTTTCCATTTCTGTATAGTTCATATGAAGTCATATGTTTTCCGTTTTATTGAGTATGCAATCAAAAAACCAAGACATGCTCACCCGTCTCATAGACAAACGCATGAACACACACACACACACGCACACACACGCATACACACACACACAAACTAAGTTCTTTCCTTTATCTTTTATAGATTGTGACAAGAAGCTCTGTGAAAACGGCTGGTGCGAGGAGACTATGGAAAGCTATCTATGCCACTGTTCACCTGGTTTTCAAGGGAAACATTGCAATGAGCGTAAGAACAATAAACCAAAGCATTTGAGTTCTGATAAAGGTTTTAAAAACATATTAAAAATATTTTGTAACTTTCCTATTTTGTGGGTTTTGAGGAATATCATAGCAGTAGACCTAATAGTAGCGATGGTATATGGTTCAGAAAGTTTGAATGTGCAGAAAGTAGAAGAGGGTATCTTGAGGAGAAAAGAAAGAGCCCTGATTAGGAAGATGCGTGGTATGAAACTGTTTTCATATAGAAAAAACATACGTGAACTCAAGTAAAGATTAGGGCATTTCCCTGGTTTTCGATTTTTTTTTCCCCCGCCTTCCCGCTTTATCCCCCTTTTCCCTTAATAAATCCCTTACATAAAGAGAGTGTATCTTTTTTAATTATTTTTCTCCAAACATCATAAAATTGACGCGGATCAACGTTTTTTAAAGTCTTGTTCAGGCGGAGGCAATTTACCTCGGGGTAAAGGTCGTGTTGAAAGCTATTCGGGTAAATATGGTAAGGTAGGTGTAAAGGTCGGAGTAGCACCGTCTAAACGATGGTCGTGTTAGCTACGCATACCTTTACCCCGACCTATTTACTCCTGGATTTATTCAGGAGTAACTTGCTAACACGACTAGAGAGTAGCTTAAGTTGACTGTGTGGATGCTCTCACCCAGTGGCGGATCCAGAGGGGCCCGGGGGCCAAGGCCCCCCCCCCCCTGGCCAAAAAAAGAAGGAAAAAAAGGGGAAGGGGATTTTTTTTTTTTTTTTTTTTGTGTTAAGAAAGAAACAACAAAAAAAGTATTCCTTCCCCCCTCCTAAGCCACTAAACGAAATATCTGACGACGTATTTTTCTAATTTCCGGCGCCAATTTTTTTTTTTTAATTGCTCATCTGACCGTGATTAAATGCCTTAAAATCCCTGAGCTTCCGGTGGCTTTGCCCCCTGGATTTCACCTAGGGCCCAAAGTCAGGCACCTGGATGCTCATCCATGGATGCTCTATCCAGGAGTAACTCGCTAATACCACTAGAGGGTAGCGTAAGTTGAACGTGTGGATGCTCTCACTTACACTCGGGGGGTATCTGTGACCTTTCAGTAGAATCGAAAATAAAAAATTAGATTTCGCACGGTTTATGCGGAAGGCGACATTACACAAGTTGATGAAGGTCGTGTTAACTTAATTATGGCAAGTTAAATTAAATGAGGTATTTACTGCTGTAGGGATTAACTTACACCGACTCGCAAAACCGCGTCTGAACATGGCTAATATCATATAAAATCCCACAGAATGTCAGTAGAGGTGTTGTGGTTTTATTACATACATACTTTATACGTCTAGATGTGAAATGCTGTGGAGAAATAAAGCATGGGTTAGTAGTGAAGAGATCTTTTTAATTCAAAACCTCATTCATTTCATTTAAAATGCGGACTTCTATTGAAATTATCTCATCTTGAGTAATTTTTGGAAGGGGTATAGTATATATGTAAAGCGCTTAGAGACATTTCTATTTAGCGCTATATAAAAGCAGATTATTATATATTATTAGAATACAGCCCCTAAAATGTACCAGCATTAGACAAATTTCGATATTTGCTTTGTTAAAGTTGTTTGTTTGATACATCTTTCCAGAATTCTGAAAGCTGAAATGTTAACACTGTGAATCTCATGTTACCCCTAGTGGGGGTATTTGTTAGCCCTGTAGACCATTTCGGAATCAAAATATGATTTTCAAATGAACGTGATTATCCACATATATTTTTATACATGGAGAAATCGCACGTTTTTCATTTCAGAAAATCACTGCCAACAGGCGGCCTTTTTTATTTACATTTGTTGAACCTAATACGTTAGGTGCCCCCCCCCCCTGGGTACCCTCAATACCCCCACACCTAAAGGCCATAATTGGTTTCTTATCATTCGTACTTTCTTCTTGTTTTTGCTCTTGTTTTCCTTCTTCTTATTATGATCGTGATTTATATTATTATTATCATTATGATCATCATCATTATCATCATCATAATTGTTATTATTAAATGCTTTCTATGAATCTTGTGTCACGGCAGAAGCACCCTCAGTTATGGCTGACTTCACGGAAATGTCTACGATCATACCGGCCGAAATGACGCAAGTCACCGCCACGGACGGTGAGCATTTCATAGCATTCCCGGTGTACACGGGGTTTCAATTCCCTGGCGTAGGGTTGTGTTATTTTTATCAAATCTATGATGGCTATTAATCTATAAGTATTATTGTCTATACGGTGTCTCCCTCATACTACGCGTCGAAGACGACAAAGGTCGCTAACGCAGTCCTACGTCAGGCCAATGACACCTCTCGCTCAACGTCCGGCGTTATAACCGCTACATGCCTCTTGTACACGAAGCGTCATTCTTGTGACGCATGGCTGAGTTAGTGATTTGTGCGGTGTTTGACGCACCATGGGAGATTGACATTCAGGAATTGTCGACAAAATTAATAAAATATGAACAATACAAGAATCCTTTGGAATTACTGACTCACACTCTTTAGTCCTTAAATGTAATACAAAGTTTTGGTATGGGGTCATGAATTTGGTTCAAATGAACATATTGTAAGCATATGCGATCCTACAATATTCAGTGATCGTTGTCGCGGTTGAAATCGGTTCTAAAGTTATGAAATTGTAAATAATAAGCTCTTTATGTTGTATAGCTCCCTCTCAAGGTCAACATATTAATTAAGCTATAAAACGATGTTTCTTGACTAAAATCGAACGATTAGTTGTTCCCGTCTGGAAATTATGTATCACAACTACATATTCTGAGTTTCCATGGCCGCAGCTACTATTGTACGGCCGTAGGCGCTATTTGAAATTCATCAAAATTTACCGGGAGCACCGGTAAATTTTTATATTCAATTTTTCTCGAAAGCAGAAGTGTTTCAGGGGTTAAATTTTCTAGTACTTATAATACATCTACATGGGCATCCAAATATATCAAAATTGTAAAGAATCACTATCTACCCAACTTTCAAAAATTCCCAAAACTTTGTATTACCTTTAACTTTTGTGGCACTAAATAGCAGCATTTGTTGATCATGATTAAATGTAGATTATAAGGAAATTTTAGTCTAAACGTGTTTTTTCTCACAATGAGATGTTTTATTCAATACCCTCCAAGTCCGCATTGTGGTATGATCACCTCTCCTGTTACTTGTCAACTTGACATTTTCTTTATTAAGTTTTCTTTACACTATATTTTTTATTATAACCCCATCCTTATACTACGTCGCTGATATTGGATTCCTGTCCTGGGCTCTCATCCAACACGTAAGGTGCTCAAAAAACTCCGATATTACCTTATTATCTCTATTTGCTAAGCTATCGATTCCGGAGCTCACGACATTGCAGAAGGTTTCTTCTTACAACCAGTCAGGTGCTCATATATTACACCTTGTAGAATACATGGCCAATTTAACATATAAGACATGTATATATATCTCCCTGGGTCGGAAATAAACCTTGTCCAAGGATGTAAGTACCAACCAAGGACGGAACCGGGATCTTTTTCTATGAGAGGTCGGTCCTCTGAAATTCAATTCTCTCAACTACGACACCTTTGTATTTTTTATCAGTTCCTAGACTCCCACGTGACTGCGCTGAGATTCAGACTGGTGGCCTATCCCATCTCAGTGGAGTGTATCCCATCTATCCCGATAGAGAGGGTGGTGATTCTATCTTCGTTTACTGTGATATGGAAACGGACGGTGGGCGCTGGACGGTGAGAAATGATGATAGCTCGAATAATTCACTTTATCAACCCCGTCCACTTTAAAAATGATCGCAAAGATTTTCAATAAACACGATATCAAGTATCTTCGAAAAATTAACCTTGCCTTGTGCGTCATCCATTGAAATATGTTTAAATTTGAAAAAATTACAATCCGAAAAAAATTAGGACATACAATACGGTATTAATTTCCTTTTAGATGATTTTTCGAAAATGGATCGTGTTAAAAATCAACTTAAGGGCAATATCTACCCTATATCCTATTTCATTCATCAACATTTTTCCACTCTCCGCCCTGGTGTCAACAGGTACCTGATAATTGCTGGGCCCTCATGATAAACAGAATCGATATTGGTAATATTGATATTGATTTGGTTAATCTTTTAAAAGTCTTTGCCATCGCATTCTTCGTGTTGCTACACTGTTCAAAAGTAATTACATAATCTTTGACACACATCGCATCTTCAACCATCGCAAGTGTTATTAATGTTCTGAATTAATAACTAATACACAAACACACACTCTCTCTCTCTCTCTCTCTCTCTTTGTCTCCCCTTTCTCTTTGTCTCTCCCTCTCTCTCTCTCTCTATCTTTCTTTCCTTCTCCCCCTTTCCCTCTCACCCACTGTCTCTGTAGGTATTCCAGCGTAGACAAGATGGATCTGTTGACTTCTCTCTTTACTGGTCCGAGTACAAAGACGGTTTTGGAAACGTTTCCTCTGAGCACTGGCTCGGTAACGACAACATCCACCGTCTTTCCCGTCAGAAAACCTACGAGCTACGGATCGACCTCGAAGACTTCGGTGGAAAAACGCGCTATGCCACCTACAGCAATTTCAGTATTGCAGACGAGGTCGCAAAGTACATCCTGGCCCTTGGCAGCTACTCCGGAGACGCAGGTATGTAATAGGGCGATCCCCTGCAATGTGGCCTGTACATAATATTATTCATTTTAATTCATCAAAAATATGGTTCCTCGTGGTATCACTAATATTATTAAATGGCCAAATCAATTAAGGAGTCTGTTTTTCTGTCTTATATATGGAATAAATGGGGGTATGTCGTATTGGACCAATGCAGAATCCCGGAATCGTCCGAAGGTACGAGTCGCCGGATTACTAGACCACTGCTCTACCGACTAGCTATCGCGTCTCCTCAATATGATATGGTACTACATGATATGCTATACGGTAATTTGTAAATACGGTAGGCTAATACGGTAATACAGTAAAACAAAATTTAAAAAAAGCAATTCTGTATACTGTAATTTCTTAATATAGTTCATTGTAATACAGTTAAAGGCCCTATGGTAATACAATCATACATTTATACGGTAAAACGAAAAAACGCTTTTACATTAATAGTGTCATTGGGGTAATACTGGCTTCGTAAAATACATATACGCAGCCTGAAGTCGAGTACGGAGAGATCGTATCTATATTGAACTGATTTTTATCATGTATACCATTAACCAATTTCTCATTTCTATGCAGGTGACAGTATGTCGTTTCATGCAGGTTACCCGTTCAGTACACTGGACCGCAATAATGATGGTGCAGGGGGATACTGCGTCAGATCTTACAAAGGAGGCTGGTGGTACAATAAGTACCTTCGTGCTAACCTCAACGGCCAATACCTGAATGTTCTAACAGGGACGGGTGTGTTCTGGGTTGAATGGCGCGGTTCTAAATACTCCCTCAAGAAGACGGAGATGAAGCTTCGCCCGACGTAAATAACAAACGCCTGTCATAAGAAGGTGCCGGTTTGCCGCGAGTTTCGTAGAACACACCTTAGAGCACCACACTTAATGTTCTGTATCTTATCACACATAGCTTCTCAGGCATTTTTCCTTTGATAAAGACACCAATTACAACACCCTCAAAACAGTGTTACTCATTTTACTATCGGTTTAACGTGAAGGGAGTTATGCCGCGTTGCTGTAACAAGTGTTCAAAAATAATCACTTAAATACCCAATAAACAAAATCACGCGAAAATCACGTCAATATCAAGGTATCGACTTGAGGAGAGTTACGTTCTTCAAACACCTGACATTTACGTAAATGTGTTAATACGTTTATTGCACTAGGTCACTTAAAACACACGTACACTAAATCACGCAATTATCTCTGCAATATCACCATTATGATAACGTGATTATCCCTACCTTGGAGACCATGGTTTGTAAACCTAATACTCCCGTGTTTGTTTGGTTATGAAATTACATCTTCATAAACGAAATTATCGCGTCACAGAAACACGTGAAGCGTTAGTGAAAGTTTTAGTCAAAATATCTGCGTGAAATTCACGTGAATATTACGAGGCTGACTTGAGATGAATCATGTTCTTCATTTACGTGAAATTTACGTCGAAGAGGAAATATGTTACTGTAACCCGCGTTCAACCCAATAATTACGCAAATGTTACACAATAAATGAACCAAAATAATGACGTTCTCAACCTGTTTCTGAACATCGTGTTTTGGATCTTCCATAATTACGTCCAGGCGCACCGGAAGCAGTTTGGGATAAGAGGGGGTGGGGGGGGGGGGGGGGTGGGTGCAAACATCCCAGAATAGAAAGCTAGTTGCAACTGGTCCAGTTGATGAACCAGTTAATACCACCTGGTAACCCTGGAAATTGAAATGGGCTAAATGATCCAGTTGATCCAGGCCTGTTAGAATTCAACTGGTCTAGCTGAGCCATTAGAACCATTTGGTAAAACTTCCTACCAGTTGAACGGCAACAACACTTCAATACTGGTACGTCTGTATTTCCAATGTAAAGGCATTGGTAATAAGTAGACTTTCATAATTTAATTAATCGAATTTTTTTCATATACTTGTATTTTATTGAAATTATTTAAGTTCATAGTTAATGTTTCCCTTATTCATGTTTAATTAAATGTAATTTATACGAAGTAGCAAAATGTCCTAATAACTGGTAATAAAAAAATTTGTAGTATTTTTTAAATGAATTGCATGTAACTAAATCATCAGTAATTAAGAAATATGCTGTAAATTCAGATAAATTGTTTAAAAAACATAGATCTGCACGCACCCCATCTAGAGCAGTGGTGCTCTAGATCTCAGAAATACTCGACGCATGGGTGCGATGGGTCCATTGTTTGACCAGCCTAACTTTCTTTTCAAAACCACAACGAATCTCTTTGATTTGCAAAACACCCGTGTCAGTCACGCGATTCGTATATGATTGGCTTATTAAAATGTAACAAATACATGGACTTATCGTTCGCATGTGTCTAACGTTTGGGCGTGGCTTCTCCGCGCCACGGCTGACCAATCTTCATGTTGGTCCGCAGTGGTGCTCTATCTCAGAAATACTCGACGCATGGGTGCGATGGGTCCATTGTTTGACCAGCCTAACTTTCTTTTCAAAACCACATTAAATGTGTAAAGCTTTTGAATCTTGAGAGAATTGTATTGTTGTCACTAATCTCAAATTGTCATGACCTTTCGGGGGTCATGCAGCTCCATTTTGTATCATGCAGGAATGTATAGCTTACCCTTCACTGGCCTCAGGGTCGTAGACAAATTTGTATTAACCTTTGATCTTGATCACTGGGATTGTCAAGAACGAATTCCTCACCCTTTATCAATAATTATTTGTATAGCGTTCAACTGTTTTGGATCCATCTGTTTTATTGTGGTTGACTGAAATTGTTTTGATGACCGGGAATTCATGTCAAAACCCTCTTTGCCACTTAATAATTGTACTCCGAATTGTCATGCTATCAAACATTATGTCATGGTCTGCTTTAGCATGCATGAATATTTCTCATCTGCACAACGAATCTCTTTGATTTGCAAAACACCCGTGTCAGTCACGCGATTCGTATATGATGGGCTTATTAAAATGTAACAAATACATGGACTTATCGTTCACATGTGTCTAACGTTTGGGCGTGGCTTCTCCGCGCCACGGCTGACCAATCTTCATGTTGGTCCGCAGTGGTGCTCTATCTCAGAAATACTCGACGCATGGGTGCGATGGGTCCATTGTTTGACAAGCCTAACTTTCTTCTCAAAACTCAATTTATTTGTTTATTTTTGTTTTTTTGGTTTTTTTATGTGACAATTATCATGATGGAAAATTCGATTGTCCAAATGGGTAAAGCATTTGAATCTTGAAAGAATTGTACGGTTGTCACTAATCCTAAATTGTCATGATTGTATTCCTTCCAGGGGACATGCAGTAGAACTTTGTATCATGCAGGAATGTATTCTTTACCCTCAAATGGGCTTGAGACAAGTATTCGTTATCCTTTGATCTTGACGACTGGTATTATCAAGACCGAAGTCCTCACTCTTTATCAATAATTATTATCTGTATAGCATTCCAAAAATTTGAGTCTATCTGTTATATTGTAATTGACTGAACTTTTTTTTGTTTTTTGAGCGGGAATGTCAAAACCCTCTTTGCCATTTAATATTATTGTACTCCGAAATGACGTTATTGCTATTAAGCATCATCTCAGAGTCTGCTTTAACATGCATACATTTTTCTCCTCCGCACAACAAATCTCTTTGTTTTGCAAAACTCCTGTGTCAATCACAAAATCCATTGTTATAGACTGAACTAGTTTTGATGAGCGGGAATGTCAAATCCCTCTTTGCCATTTAATAATCGTACTCCGATTTGTCATTATTGTTATCAAGCATTTTGTTTCTTCCCAGCCCCTCTATTTTGCGTGTCAAAAATACACCCTTTACTCGGGCGGTCGGGCTCCGCTCTGTTGCTCCTAAGCAATTATTGTAACTGTGACCAAGATGGGTCTTATTGTATTTTTATTTGTGTTATATTTTGAAGTTACCCGCACACTTGCACTTCGTACACACACAAACGCACCAGCATCACACATGCAGTTGTTCATCCTCCAAATTTTCGGTACTTTACATAATACGTATCGTTAAATGAATTCGCACGCGCACACTCCCGATATTCTTGTCGACGATATAAACGAGAGCAAATACTACACACCCCAAGAATTCAAAAATTCATTTTCTTACAAACCAGACAATATTTCACTTTTACATATAAACTCCAGAAGTCTGAACAAAAATTTCGAATACGTTGAAAACCTTTTACACTCTTTAAATAATTTTGCATTTTCCGTCATTGGAATAAGTGAGACTTGGTTACATCAGAATTCTCCAGATATGTTCAATTTGCCTAATTATAAGTTGATTAGGGCGGACCGCAAAGGAAGAAGAGGTGGCGGTGTTGCGTTTTATATTACACAAAACATAAACTTCAAAATCCGTTCAGATATTAAACTAACACAAGCTGAATCTTTATTTATCGAAATTAATAACTCAAATGCCAAAAACGTCATCATAGGTTTGATTTATAGACCCCCTGATTCTAATTGTGATTTATTCTGTGACGAACTGGATTTTTATCTTCATAAAATAGGGGATGAAAATAAACACAATTTTATCCTTGGTGACTTTAATATCAACTTCTCACCCTCATCTGATAACAGTAACTCAACCAATTGTATGCAGTTGATGCATTCATACGGCTTTTTTTCGATTATTAATAAACCCACCAGAATAAATCCACATTCATCAACTCAGATTGACAATATTTTTTCAAACGTACATAACAACAAAACCATCGGTGGAATATTGTGTTCTGAAGTGTCGGATCACCTACCCATATTTTTAACTTGTGAATGCAAACTATCTGGCCGTAAATCATTTGATGAGCTTATATATCGCAAAGAATCCAAACGTAATATAGAATTGCTGAAACAGGATTTATTTTTCGAGGGATGGGCTGAGGTATATAGTGTAAATGATGTCAATACTGCATATAAACATTTTAGTAACAAATTGCAATATTATTATGAAAAGAATATTCCTTTAGGCAAAATGAGTAATAAGCGAAATAAACCCAGGAATCCTTGGATAACTAAAGGTTTATTGAAATCAATACAAACACGCAATCGCCTCTACAAATTACATTTACACAATCCAACTGACACTAACCTAAACACATATAAAATTTATCGAAACAAATTAACAAAACTTATCCGTACATCCCGTAGATTGCATTTTTCTAATAAAATAAAAAAGGCCAGTTCAAACACAACTGCAACTTGGAAAATTATCAAAGAGGTAATGGGAAAAAAAACGAATCCCCCACCCACGGATAATATCACATTAAATGGCACTAAAATACATGATCCTAGTCTTCATGCAAATTCATTTAATTCATTTTTTACGAATATCGGCCCAGAACTCGCCAGCAAAATTAATAGAACTCACGCACACTTTAAAGACTATCTTTCCAATCAAAACCAAGAGTCCCTCTTTTTAAATCCGACAAATCCTAGCGAAATTATTAACATTACCCAATCTCTTAACAACTCAAAATCGCACGGTTTTGATAAAATAAGTATGTCTCTCCTAAAAGAAATAATGTATCCACTTGCAAAGCCTTTAACTCACATATTTAATCACTCGTTATCGCAAGGTGTTTTCCCTGATTTATTAAAACTAGCTAAAGTCAACCCCATTCTCAAAAAAGATGATCCTCACGAAATTAGTAACTATCGTCCAATTTCCCTACTCCCAAGTATATCTAAAGTCTTAGAAAAGATCGTTCATAATAGGCTACACAAATTTATCACTAAACACAAAATACTCAATTCAAATCAATATGGCTTCAGAAAAAATTACTCAACTGACTTAGCATTAATTCAAATTTATGACAAAATTACAAGTGCCATAGCTAACAAAGAGCATGTTATAGGTATATTCTGTGACTTGAGTAAAGCATTTGATACGCTCAATCACGCTATTCTACTCTCCAAACTCAGTCATTACGGAATTCGGGGTCAGCCACTCTTATGGTTTAAAGATTATTTAACAAACAGAAGACAATATGTTACATTTAATAGTTATGATTCTGATCCTCTTTTAATTCAATGCGGTGTTCCTCAAGGCTCCATCTTAGGTCCACTGTTATTTCTT